CTGCAGCTATCACTTGCCGAGAGATACGGACGGCTATTCGAAGAAAGCTGATGGCTTTGTAACTGCAAGGAAGGAAAATATGTCTTGATGGAATGCTGCAAAATACATGGTTTCGACATTTTGATATTTGACTATTAATGTATTGACTCTCTACTTACACCTGGGTTGTAACACTCTATTTTGTAAAACTCTGGATGAACATCCGGTTGTAAAACGGATTTATTAATATACATTACGGTTAACAAAAAAAACAATGGTTTTGCCAACAAATCCTTCAAATAAACATAAAGAAATTTCAGTTCATGGCCCATATCTTATAACTAATGAAACACGCTTAACCATTTATTTATTACATGCATAATCTATAAAACCTATACATCTATCTAATATACAATTAAACAAACAATATTATCAAATATTTACTGAACAATATATATACACACACATATATTGAACCCTAAGAAAAATCCGGGATTTTCTCATGGAAAAAAAGAACATTGTTACCAAATATTTTCAAACTTTGAAAAACAGAATCTGTTTCATATTCTCATATGTTACAATAACATCTAATCAACTCTCAACATGCAAATTTTCTATTTTAAAATCAATCGTGTGCTACTATATTTAACTTTTAAGGGTTAGGGTTAATAAACCCTAACACGGGTTGGGAATGATTCATGAATCAAAGTATTTTAATTACATAATCAAAGTATTTTAATTACGCTCTTATATATAATAATAGCAAAAAAACCCATCGTGCCACCTAATTAAGTCTAGGGAAGGGTATTTATAAGAACACGTCACTAAATTCAAAAGAAAAAAATGAAAAAGTCCTTTATCGACCAATCTGAAGTCGACACGATCATAGAACCATCATGGGTTTTGGTATCTGAATCCTTCACCTTGTAACCTAGTGCAGCTCTTTCCTCGAGGACTCTAGATAATTCATCCCTTAATAATAATAATAACAATAATAATAATTGTACAAGTAAATTATTTTTCCAATTGTACGTACGACACTGATTTTTTTTTTATTGGAACGAAATTGTATATGTGTTGCACTGTTGCAGCAATATATACATATATAAACAAAGTCTTGTATCTAATATGCCCGCAACTCTATATAAATATATATCATATATGCGTACATATAATATGCTAAAGTCCACTACCCGTTTTGTGGAGTATATTTGTCACTTCTGTTCATATCGTCTACGTGAAATATAAACTGTGAGATGAAATTAAAAAAATTTCGAAAACTAAAGCAACATTCTTCTAGAAGCATGGTGTCAACAAAAGGTACTAGAAATTCACTTTTTATTATTATTTTTTTTTTTGTATGTGGGTTCTAGAGATCAATAGTCAGACAAAAATAAAAATTTTAATATCATTAAAATACGATAAAAAATTTCTATCAATTTACGTGTGGAATAATATAGAAGAATATAAATTAGTAGTAGTAGACAGTGGGGGACCCAGAAAAAAAATGTTAGTGGTGACAATAGATGAAGGTTCCGGTATTCGGTTCGGATTCGGTTTGAAAATAGATCGGTTCAGTTCTTTCGGTTTTAGAATAACATGTACAAATCAATTATTATATCATATTCGGTTCGTTTCGGTTCGGTTTGGTTTCTGTTTTTATTAAAAAATAGATCTTTTATAAAAAAAAATCTTTTTTCTATTTTTAAAATTCGGTTCGTTTCAAAAAATTCAGTTTTCTAAAATAATATCGTTCAGATTAAAAAAATATTTTATTGTTCGATTATGTACTATTCGACTATGAAAAATCATATCAAAACGTTCATTTCTAAAGTATTTTATAAAAAATATAAAAAATTAATAAAATATACTATCAAAACAATATTTAAATTTTATCATTAAATTTTACGATTTTTTATTTTTTAAAATTTGTCTATAATAATTTTATTTATAATTATTTGAAATATATAATTTTTTATAAAACAAACTAGATAAAAACTGTAACTTTATATATTTTTAATTTAATTTTTCTTTTTTTGTATTATGTTTAATATTAGATTTGTAAATGTTTTTAGGAAATTGAGAGGAAAAAAAGTAAAAAAATAGATGAAAACAAAGATTAAGGGTAAAAACATCACAAGACCTAATATTTAGAGAAAAAATTAAAAAAAAAAAAGAAAAGAAAAAAAATAATGAGAGGAGAGGGGACAAAACAAAATCATAGATGGGAGCCTTTAATATTTTTTATCAAAATTTTATAATAATTACAAGTAAATAAATTTTTTTTGCTAAATATGGAGTCATGAGACCTAACACCAATACATGTAGATCCGCCTCTTGTAGTAGGTATCCCTAAACTATAAAATTAGATCCAAGTTTGGGTGGTTCAACTATTTTATTTGAAGAGGAATATTTATATGAATTTCTCCGATTCTACATATAGAATATATAATTGGATTAAAGATTAAATAAAATTTAAGATAAAATATTATTAAATTAGTTTAATTCGATTCAACTTTGGAATAATAGGATAGGGATGGAAACTGATCTAAATTGGTTTAAAAAATATGGATGATAACAATTTAGATCAAAATAATTTATAAAAAATTTAGATTAAAGTATATAATGGGAAAACAAAAGTAAAACCATCAAAAACATTTTTAATGTGTAAAACATTTGCACTCACCAAAATTCGAAGTTAGAATGTCCTGATCTCTTCAGTTATGTAAATTTTCATCAAATTTACTATAGTTTACTACAAAAATCTGTTTGATTCCCATTAAAAATATTAAATCGTAAACGGATAATTACTTAGACCTAACAAAAAAAATATATATCACGTGAAGGTAAAACAGATGGCATTGTCGGTAAAAAGGGGAGAAGGAAACACAAAGTTAATAAAAACGACATTGATTTGATTGGAACATTGCCTCCAATTTAGGACGGTGGTAATGTCCATAGGTGGCATCGTATTTTTCAAACCCTCTGGCTAAGGCAGAGAGACATAAGATACAAGTGCCAATTTTTTCAGTACAAAAAATATCTAATCAGAAACATGAACACGTGGCACTGGTCTTACAAATATCTTCTCAATTCTTTTTATAAAAAGATCATTAAATTACATGAAAAATCAAATTAGTTCGTGGAAGAATTATAGATTTTTATAAACCAGGAATTCGACATAAAATATTTTAAATTACATATATTTTACTTCAAAAATCTATTTATTACCATAACAATTATTTGAAAAATAACTATATAATTATATTATTTGAAACACCAACTATATATTGTCTAATAAATGATGGGTCCATAAAAAGTCGAAGAATTTACCACAAATATAAAAGACGAAATAAGTAAATTCAATTTTCATTGACTAATATGTTATTCTTTAAATACGCTGAAATATAAAACATATTTATATTCTTCCTAAAGATTTGTATAATTTATAAAAATAATTAATTAATGTTGATCATTTATGTATTCTTTTAGGAAATAGATTATTAATGGGACAATAGTAAAAACAAACATGAACTTTGTGTATTTGGCAAATAAATACACAAACTTTCATTTTGGTAATAAAATACACTAACTTTTATATTTTTAGCGCAAACCTCCACGAATAGTAACGACGTAAAAAAAATAACAGAACCATCAATAAGTCATGTACAATTGTATATAAATATCATATCATTTATTTAATAAAACCATGTCATTAATTATGTTTTGTGAATTTATTATTAATTTTGTTTATAGTGATTTTGTTTTTTGATGTTCAAAACATAATATATTTGCATTTCAAGGGTTTTATTTTCCATATATATTATGTTTTGAACATAAAAAATAAAATCACTAAATAACGTTAATAATAAATTTATTACATATAATTAATGATATAGTTTTATTAAACAAATGATATGATATTTATATATTGTACATGACGTATTGATAGTTTCATTATTTTTTTGATGTTATTACTGTTTGTAGAGGTTTACGCTAAAAATATAAAAGTTGGTGTATTTTATTACCAAAATGAAAGTTTGTGTATTTATTTACCAAATACACAAAGTTCATGTTTGTTTTTGCTATTGTCCCGATTATTAATATCTATTGCAATAAATTTATATTGGGTAAATATAATAAATAATAATTATTACTAAATGATATTTTAATATTGTATTTGGGATGGTATGAAATATATATATATATATATATATATATATATATAGCTAAAAAACAGTCAGCTTATTTTGTTTTATTCTTGTTGATGATAGAATGTTAAAAGAAAGTTAATATCGTTTATCTCTTGAATTCTAGTTATCACATTATCTTCATATGCAATAAGACTGATACTGTTTTATTTGTACTTCGTTAAAAAACAATTTGTTTTATTTGTTAACTTCATTTCTAAAAGTATTAAAATCTTCTATTTCTATATGCAATAAAAAGATAAGTTTTCAATGTTTTATTTTTTATGAAGTACTAATTAATTATAAATGATTAGATACTTCAAATCTTCCTTTTTATTATAGCTCAATTGATAAATCTCCACACAAAACCAAAATGTTTATAATGATAAAGAAAACCAAAGGTCATGAAAAATACACAGCTAATTTTTTAATAAAACAATCTGATTATAAATACAACAAAAAGTAATTTATTGATTTAATTTATTTATAGGAAAAAGAAAAAAATGGAAATAATTTTGTAATAAAAAATCTTATTATAAATACAACAAAAAGTAATTTATTAATTTAATTTATTTATAAGAAAAGAAAATAAAAAATGGAAATAATTTTATTAATTGAAAAATATGACTGCTGGAGCCGATCAAATGTCCGCTACGATGAAGCACGAGCCCTTGGGGGAGAATCCGAAACCCTAGTTCACATTTTTATATATTTCATTTAATTCATTAAAATTTGATTAACGCACTAGTCAATAATTAATATTTAAATTAAAGTCATCACCACTTCTTCACATTACTTCTATAAATATCTTCGCCGCTCATAAGTATCTTCGTGCACCTCTCTTTCACTCTTCATCTCCCTCTCTCTAAATCGCCCTAGTTGTTCTTTCGCTTCCGTCCCAGATCCGTCGCCGCTACTAATTCTGGCTGATTTCCGGCAATTTTTTCGCCTGATCTCGATTCCACTGGTGGTGGAGATCGATATTTGCAAATTCCTATGCATGCCAATCTCTTACTTCGACGCCGCTTTGTTGGTCGGTGATTTTTGGTGAGTTTGCTTCTGAATTTTTTGTTTTTCCTTTTTCTTTCTCCTGTGCTTTTTATCTGCTGATTCTATTTACGATGATACGTGGTTTTGTGTGAAATCGGGTTTTGAGATCTGTTTGGTTGATGAGAACGATGGAGAAAGTAATCCGAGAAAATGAAGGAAAGTGAGCTGTCGAAAGGTCACTTAGTTCGTTTTATCATCGATCGATCAGCTGTCTGAGCTTTTTGAGATTTTGTTATTTCGAAGATATTGCTTTGATTTTGTTCCTGTTTCCCTAAAACTATTGTTACAGTCAGTGATGGATTGTTTTGAATCCTACAATGACAAAATTTAATTGCATGAGCAGATGACTATCGCAGATGAGAGCTGAGATGTCAAGTGTATCTGTCTCCACTCGCAGGTTAGATTCCGCGTTTCATAGTTGCTTATGTTGAGGCATTCCCCCCGTTTTCTTGGAGATATTCGGAATGTCCAATATTGTTTGCTAGTGATATACATATAATGATATTAAATACATGTTTCATAGGATCTTCAGCGCTGTAGAAAAGCCATCTTCCTCATTTTAATTTTGTTAATGTACATTTGCATGTTTTGATTGTTAGTCTCGCTCTCTTTTTTTTTTTTAATAATGGCAGTTGTATTGATTGTTAGTCTATGTTCCCTTTCTAAACAACTTGATGTATATGCTCATAAAATAAAGGCACATGATAGAAATCTTTGTTGTGCATTAAAAGCCTCCATTGTCTATGACATGCAAAAGCAAAGCTACTGTTTAGAGGCGAATGGATCTAATTATAATCAATTAATTTTGTGAAACAAGAAACAGATTTGGCCGATCGTTTTGTAAGATCATTTTCGAAGTTGCCAATGAATGATTGCAACATATATGTCGAACCATATACATTGTTAGTGAGCTGAGAATGTTCACACACCTCACTTCGTAATGTTAATGCGCATAATGATATGCATTAATTCAGAAGTTGTGAGCTATAACTGTTGTCTGTAATATTGAGAACTTTTTGTTATGATTTGATTGCAAATTAAATAAACAAAGAAACATATGATATTTAACCTCTTTAGCCCTCTTATTTGGTTTCTATTGTTATATTATCTTTACATTCTTTTGATATCTGAGTTATTGTGTCTAATCTTGGAGAGTTTGAAATCATTGTTTGTTTTCTAATTTCTCATGGGGTTTTCTTAAAACATCATTGATGCGGTGTAGTGTAGTATCCACATTCCACGCCCAAATTGAATGGAAACAATCAGTTTCAACAACAATTTTTTTCCTGATTCATTCAATCCGGCAAACTTTTGCAGAAGTTGAAATTCACGAGAAAGATCTAACACGATCTGTTAAAGACTTAAAGTTACAAGGAAATATTCCTAATCTAGCTCAAAATGTAACCAATACATTTGGAAGAAGTTTCTGATAGCAAATCAAAGTTTGATTCACAAATTCCCTCTTTACTGAAGTAGTGTATAAACATCATTTCTTCTAAGCATCTAAATGAAAAACTTGAAACACGGTTTACATGTATGAAAAATTGTTTATGCTTATGAGAATTTCAGTTCTCATTATGGGGTGGGAACTTGTGTTGTTGCTGCCATCATGGTATGTTAAATCCTTTTGAAATAATAGGGCGTACTGTAATACCTATAACTGGGGAATTATTTTTGAGGATATGTAAAACGAACCCAAAAAATCGAAAATTGATGTGAATAACCAATCGAAAGATATATGGAACCAAAACATGTCGAAAAGACTCAAATGGAATTGAGGAAGCTAGACTGGATCAGAACACTGAACCGGATTAGACTTGCATACTCGAACGCGAGTAGAAGGTTGCTCCAGTCTAGACGGGCTCTGTTCTAGTCCAGATTGGCCTTCTCTTTGCATCCGAGTCTACAAGTCTGGTCCGGTTCGATTCAAGTTTTGGTTTGGTTTGGTCCTAGCTTCCTCAATTCCGTTTTCTAGTCTCTTTGGCGTGTTTTGGTTTCAGATGTTATTCAGTTGGTTATTCATGTCAATTTTCGATATTTTTTTTATTCATTTTACACTTGTCCTCGAAATAATTCCGGGGTTCAGGGTGTTACACGTACCACCAGTTTGCATATTGAGACTTATTTTCATCTTAAAAGGTTCAATCATAATGTCCTTCCTGATGCTACATACGTCGAAAGAAAAGTTCCATGATTTGTGCTAATCGTTGTTTTCTGCATTGTAGTACGACTAATGTTGAATGTGATATGATATGGATTTCACATGTCCATGATTAAGAATTAAACGTAATGATAATTCACTAAAGAATCTTACATATGACTAATAATTTTTATAGTTCGACATTTCCTCCTACAGTTGTATCTTTCGTTTAGAGTGGCTGGTTGTTGTAGATTTGGTGATATTGTACCTTTCTTGTGTTTGTAGAGATGTCCTTTAGATAAACTCATGTTTGTTTAATATGGAATCTTTAGGTATTAATTAGGATCACCATAAATGATTTTGAATTTTTTTAATGATTTTCTGGATCTCTCCAAACCTTTGCGTAAAAAGTTTCAAATACTCGAACTACTAGATATGCAAATACTTTGAGTCTGCATCTCATTTCAAATAGAACATAATGTAAAAAGTTCCTTACCTTTGCAAGATGAACTAAGCTTGGTCACTGGAGAGTTTATATGCTTTCCTTTTTCTTTATGACATTCTGCTAAGTTCAAGTTAGGGTAAAAATTATTTACTGCTCTGATTAGATACCCTCAAGCCATTTTTAATTTGAGGGTCAGACAGTTTCGTAGCTCTTCTCGTCTACCAAGGCCTTTGTACAGATGGGTGTGCGTGCAAGCCAAATATTTTATCCTATTAAAAGTGTGAATTATTCTGCTTGATCTTTAGCTTTAAAATTTCTTCATCTCATCTAAAGCAAACAAGGTTCATTTTTTCCGTGATATGTGCCTGTTGTCTTTTGTGTTGGGTGTGCGTGCAAGCCAAATATTTTATCCTATTAAAAGTGCATAATATTCTGCTTGACCCTTTAGCTTTAAAGTTTCTCATCTCATCTAAGCAAACAAGGTACATTTTTTCTGTGATATGTGCCTGTTGTCTTTTCTGTTTTGGTTCCACAATTTCAAATTTCAAGATTTGACTTAGTATGGGAGCTACATTTAATGCATTTATAATGATTTTGTTTTTCTCCGAAATGATTCCTGTAGGTAGCTGTCATTTGAGATGTGTGGTTTCTTCAATGGCCTGTTGATTCTTTTAGTTAACTTTGAGTGAAGCAGTGTGCCATTTCCGCTCTGATGGAAACCTGAATGAGCGCGTCATCAACCTGTCTTGAAGATTCTATTTTTGATTCTTTGTTTACTCAGAAATCTATCCTTCTTGATAATCAAATTCATGTTAAAAGTCAGATTAAGGTTCTTTTTCCAAATGAGTAATGGTAGCATAGCACATCGGAAACAATGTTTGTGACGAATCACTGTTTCAGCTTTGATTCATATGGATTTGCTTCTGATCGTGGGTCTGCTTTCTTTGCTAATTGCAGTGGCAATCTGCTGCAGTTAATCAAGGAGATGAGATTCTGAAGAGGTCAAGGTGATAAACGCGGCTAACACGGAAAATAGTGTGTTGAAGGAAAGGTTCGTTCGAGTCATCTCTTATTTCTAGACCATTTGTGAGAAGGGAATTCCTGTTTGCACTATTGACACCCCCTGGTGTAGGTATTTACCCTAACCTTTTAAAACACAATCCTAGCTCCTAGATAGTTCAGTTTAACGATTCCCTTTACCCTTATTCCATATTCTCTTTAGACATTAGGTTTAGTTTCTTGTGGAGTTCTAGATTTTCTTGGCGCATGAGATTAGTGAGTTTTGACACGCACACACAGACACAAAGGAAAGTCTGTTCTAAGATAGTTGCATCACTAGAAGCCCTCCTTTTGGTTCAGTTCTTCTGTTTCTTCCAATTAAAATCTGATCTTACAGAAGTGAAAAGAAAAGAAAGAGCACACCCACTGTTTTGGCAAAATTCACAAACATGACTGATTTGTCATGGCATCCAAACATTTTTTCGTTTCCAAATTCTTTGAATCTATTACCACTTAGGCCAGAAAGCTCGTACTCGGTCCATTTGCCTGTCAGGTATTCAGTATGAGACTATTTGTTTCTTAAAATGCATTTGACAAATTTCTTCAGCTATATACGTTCCTATAATACATAATAAAATCCGGGGAGGTGTTTGGTTATTCCCTTCTCATGAATGGTCTAGATATGCGCGGTGACTCTGAAAAATGCTGAGGTTGAGACCGTGAGTTTTGGTCAGTGTATTATCAGCATCCAGCATCTCATGGTGTTCGGCACAGGTAATAAATACTGAGACTAGGTAAGCACTTTTCCAGCTTTAGAACTTGCTAGGGCTGGACACCTGTTTTCAGTGATAATCGATTTTTTTTGTCATTGCATGTTTGTAGGATCTTTTTAGGGAGTCCTGGTAAGATAGTTTTACTAGTAATGCATACATAACTCGGGTAAACGTTGCATCTACTCTGCCGTTGTTCGTTTCATCCCTGAAGTCCTAACCTCTTTCCGCATTTATCTTTCATGTTTTATTACGTCGTCTTCTGTTCCTAGCTGTTGTTTTCGAAACACACGGCACGTGATGTAACGTATTCGGAGTTTCTTGCAAGTTATGTAGCTGCTGCTTCAGTTCAGAACTAGAATATAGAACAAATTACGTTTAGGGGATTTACCAGAGAATAATAATAATATGTGAAACTGAGAGAATGATTCTGATAGGATATCAAGAGGAGCCAAAAGAAGGGTCATGGGCGTAAAGGAAACAAGAGTAACAGGGAAAGAAGATATGCATAAGGTGGAGCAATTGATGGAGGTATGGTCACGTGAGGGATGTTGGATTAGGTTCATTGTATCAACACATTGTATGTGTGGGTATATCCTCTTAGTGCCAGCTCAGCAGGTTTGTTGTGGGTAGCTTATATTAGACGTGCAGATTGGGTATTAGGGTTTATGCTTTTGCTCATTTGAATGTGTAAGGAGAGGGGTGAGAGAGAAGCTCACAATAATCAACTTCTTGGGGTTGTATTTGGTTTTCTGGAAATCAATACAACATATCGGTTCTTGTTCTTGTTCTTTTCTGGGTTTTCTGTTACTGAAACCTTATCAGATTCTTATTTTGATCATCTTAGTTTGTGCCCAAAAAGAAAAGAAAAGCAGAAGCAGCGATTGTGCTATGCAGACCACGCAAATTCCTTATATATATATATATATCCGTCATAGGTCGACCGTACTGTTTTTATGTAAAAGGCAGGATCTTCATTCTTAACAATGTTGAGCATTGTTGGTATTTGTTGATGATATTTTAGCCAACGATGATCAAGAAGCGATTTTGAACTTGAAAGAGTTTGTTTAAGTCTCAAGTTTCATATCAAAGGCTTAGGGTAGGTCCACTCAAATTTATCTGAGACATGAAATATATATATATATATATGTGTGTGTGTGTGTTCTATTTGACGTCTGATTCTGGCTGATGGATTATAATGTTTCGAATACTGTAGAGAGAGAGAGTACCTAACTTTGGTCTAACGTTGTATCGGTTTCTACTGTGAGTGTACCTTGTTTCTTACGTAGCCATTGATGTATCGCATGTATGGTTCAGTAAGTTCACTATGCAGTTTTTTTATTTCATTTGTTGCCGTTTTAATTTTATATAATTTTTTCTGTTGAATTAGTCCTAATTCGAAACAATTTTATGAAATTCTAGAAAAACGTAATATACAAAGAATCAAAATAATCTTTCGATGTGATATAAAAAATGTTATGGTCTAATCTATATCGAATTGAATGAAAAAATTGTTTATAATTTGGTTTAATTTTTGTTTTTTTTGGTGGAAACTGAAGTATTTATTTATTCAGTTTCTTAAAATCATTTTTTTCCTCGTAATAGTGCCATAGCGTAAAAATAAAATAAAATGAAAAGATGATTGAACTGAATTTTTTCCGATGGCGAATGTTGAGCTATTGTCACAAAATATTAATGTATTCTCTTCTTACTTGCATCCCAAACTTTCAAATAGATTGTGGAGATATATTGTCTTATTGATTGCTGGAACTGCAGCTGCAGAAATGTATTCTGCTTTTGATTAGGCAACAACTTCTTGTTTGTGTGGCTGCCAGAAAAATACTACCCTACCTAATTTGAACAGTAGCCGTTTGTATTCTTCATGTCTTTTTTTTATATTGGTGATTTGCCCAGGTGGGATTCGAACCCGGGGTGTGGGAGCACTTTCCCACGCCACCGGACCACCACGTCTAGGCTTCATGTCCTCTTGACTTTCGGTCCAATCACTATTACGATATCAGATTTTTGGGTTTGAAATGTAAACAGAGATCAATAGTTCCCTTGATATACTTCAAGATTCTTTTCGCTTGTTGGTAATGTGTCATCAGGGGTTTGTTCATGAATTGTATCGAATATGAGATCGAGTCTTGTGGTCGTAAGATACAGTAAACTACCAAGGTTTGTGTTCTGTTCTTGTTGCCCTTTTCGTCTCTGTAATAACACCTTCTTACTGAATCATTTCGTGTGTTTGGTCTGTCTTTTTTTTTTTTGCAGGGAAAGTTCCATTCTTTCCACCCAGTGGCCTCAATCCTGAGCTACCTCACCAAGGCACCACTAGTAAGTACGCTTTTCAAATCTCTCAATCATCAGTTCTTAGTTTTTTTGGGTAATCTGACCGGAAAACGGGACGGTGAAACTGTTGGTTGTAATGCTCTAGGATGTTCCGTGATATGACATTTTGACATTGTATTGATTCATTGATTTATGAATGCGTTACATTCCGTTATATGATTGGCATGTTTGTTATATTTCGGTATCCTTGAATCATTATCGAATGATTCTAAACACCCTGGTCAGTTATCATTGTGGGAACAATGATGAATTAAGACTAGCATGAGTTGTGATCGATGCATTGGATGCATATCACAATCATGGGTACTCGTTGTGAACGAGTGACTGGTTGACCCGCATGAGATTGTCACATGGACAGAGTCATGAATTGAATCTCATACAGCGGTTCGTTCTTGAATCCTCAGACCTGAGATGTCTAGAGTATCTGATATGAGGAGTGGCGTGTCTTGACTGCGTCAAACGTCGTCTTTAACCGGATGATGACGTGTTTTCTCTTGGTCCGGTCCGTTTCCTTCGTCCGGTCCAAGTTCGCGTGTTGTCCCAGTCTCGATCCGGAGATGACCACTTCTGGTCCGGCGGACCGGGACTGGAACTTGCTTCTCCCTCGCGATTTCTCCGGTTCTGTTTCGATTTTTCTCTCCCGAATCGATTCGGGATTGCTTCCAAATGCTATAAAACACAGTTTGACATCCCTAAACATGTTCTAAACCTCAAACACGCAATGAAATCTTGATTTGGACCATCACACATTGAGAACAAGATCTCACAACTCCAACTCAAGCCACTCACCTTGTTCTTGAGTTTGTCCGAGCTTGTGTGCGTTCCTCGTGGCTCCACACGACGTGAACACCTTTAGGGCACGTCTAGGACGTTCCCCCTTGCTTCCCCGAGCTCCCCTTGCCCTGGTTCGTCGCCTTTCTCTCCCTCTCTCCCTCTTTCTCTACTTCCTCTGTTTTGCCCGAAAATGGCTAAGGCAGAGGATTGGGAGATGTTTATGGAGTGCGAGAGGGGTCAAGTGGGCTCGAGCCTAGGCCCATAGGTGAGCCTGCAACACCCTCGAGGCGTGGGAGGCGACTGGTCGGCGAGTGGGCCCCAGAATCCGGCGAATTCCGCGTCCCAAGGCGGCAAGTTGACAAGTTGCGGAATCTGTTATTCCCGGTCCGCCGGACCAACTTC